AGCCCCCACCCCATGTCAAAATTTTGAGATAGGTCTTGTTAAATTGCCCAGGTTGGCCTTGAATTTGCAATCTTCCTGCCTCAGGCTTGTAAATACTGGGAAGACAGAGATGTATCACCATGCCAGGAAATGGACCTTATTTTGTACCTCCCCAGTACAATGCAAACCCGATAATCTCTGGAGGGCAATTTGGAAACATTTAGTAAAAGAACAAATAGGGTTCCCTTGACTTGGTGGGTGTATAAGGATTTAGATACAATGAAATTCAGATACAATGAAACAACATTATGGTTTAAGGTCTAAGTTTGGAAATGCCCCAATTGAGATCACTGGTGGATTCATACCATGGAATAATTTGAAGCTTAAAAAAATGCTTTGTGTACCATGTATAGCACATGCTGTCTTTGTAGAAATTGAAAAAAAATAATGTGTGTGTATTTATGTATAATTGTATTATTATAGCTAGGAACTGGATAGTGGGGGGACATTTTGCTTTATTATATAAAAATAATTTAAACAAGCAAAAAAAATTGGAGGGTAGTGTATCAGGGACTGAATTTAGGGGCAATCAACCGCTGAGCCACATCCCCAGCCTTTTTTCATATTTTATTTAGAGATGGGGTCTCACTGAGTTGCGTAGTGCCTCGATTTTCTGAGGCTGACTTTAAACTTAGGATCCTCCTGCCTAAACCTCCTGAGCTACTGGGATTACTAAAGGCATGTGCCACTGTGCCCAGGGAAAATTTTTAATGAATTTGAAAATAAAATGAATTTTGTGAAAAAACAAATCACTAAAACTGAATAAAATAAACCCAACCATAAAAATAAACTAAGTACTAAATAATCAATACGGACCTATGAACAAATCATTATTAAGAGTTAAATGAAAAATCAACACAAAGTAATTTTTTTGCAGGGTTTCAACACTTACTGACTGAATTTTCCAGGAATGCAACTACTATACTTTGCCACATCTGGGACTTCACCAGAAGTTGTTCACTCTTAGGAAAAACCATGACATCAACACAAGGCTGCTTCTTGGGACTAACTGCCACCACCAGGTGGCCATGGTTGTAGCGGCCACGTTTTACATGCCCTTCTCCACCATGAGCAAGCATTTATGTTGTTATGAATGACTTCCATTTACTTCTCCTTTATATTTCATTAGGGACTTACTTACATTTTGAATTATGTGTACAGATGGGTGTATAAACTGTGTGTCATCCCAGCCAGTGAGACACGAGCATGTGTGACCAAATGCTATCCACAGGCACTGTGCACCACAGGCTCTGGGTCTGGGAGGCCTGGTGGTGTGTCCGTCCATGATGAGCCACACACTTCTCCACGCACAAGCACAGTCACTGCCTCGCAAGGCAATGGATGTGGATTCTGGCAGGTGAAGCGCTACTGCAGTTCAGCACATAGTGGAGGCTCAGTGTCCCCAACCACTGCCAGGAGGTATGAATGACATGGGGTACCTTGGACAAAAGTGACCACCAAGAAAAATACAGCACACTGTTCTTGTTCTGGATATGGTCTCAGAACTGAAAACCATCTCTATAAATGCACACTCGAAGTGGAAAAACACACCCGAAATGTTAACCAAATCCCATATCCAGGAAGAGACCACCAACTGTACCTCATGGACCTGTACTTTTCTTAACTCCCTAAATTTTCTGTAATGAACACATATTATTACTATGAAAGAAAAAAAGATACCCATGGTGGAATTCATGGATAATACACCACCATTATCAAAAGAATTGTCTCCACTATTGCATGGATTAAAACAAAAAAGCAAAGCAATAAAACCACGTCAAGAGACCAAATAAATATTTTCCTCTCAGAAATGAAGACAGAACATGGCACTGTGCTCCCCCCTTGTCCTCACCATTTCTTACTGGTGCTAATCAGCGGGTATACTGGAACAGGAAGGAAACAGAAGGAAGCAGCAGCTCTCAAAGCATAGCCTCTACACTTGTGTCCCCTACCTGTCTTTACACTTGGCTGTGAAGTCCTAAGAGGGCTACGTCCCTGCCAGGTCATTACTGTAGTAAACCTGAATAAGCCTCAAAGATATTAAGAAAACCAGTAGCTATCAGGCAAAGTATCCACCCACCCATCCATCCACTCACCCATCCACCCATCCATCCATTAATCCATTCACCTATCCATCCATCAATCCATCCACCCACCCATCAACTCACCCAATCTCTACCTATCTGAATGTCTGCTCCATACATCCAAGAAATGGACACATGTTATTTGTCATTACTCCATCTTCTAATTAACTTCTCTACTTGTCTAAATGACAGAGCCTCCGAGACCTCGCCACACAGGACTGAAGATTGTGGCCAAATAAGTAATCCAGACTTCAACTTAAATCTTTAAAAAAATATGTTTTAATTGTAGGTGGACACAATAACCCTTACTTTATTTTTACGAGGTATCGAGGATCAAACCCAGGGCCTCATATGTGCTAGGCAAGCACTCTACCACTGAGCCCCAGCCCCAGCCCCTCCGGACTTCAACTTAAGTGGGAACATTGTTAAAGAACAAATGTTCCGCACTGAGAACCCCAGGCCCATGCAGAAGCATCAAATTTCTGTGAATCAACATTCAGTTCTTTCAAGTTACCAGTAAGGCTCACAGTTTAAATCCTATTGCTAGTCTATTCTGTCACCTCAGAGGTAACCTCTTCTTAAGCAAATGTTGCCTGTTTTGTACAACTATTAACCCAAGCTGTGCTGATGTTCACAATGCTAGAATCCCTCCGTTCAGAGTTCTGCTATCTCCAGAACTCCACAATGCACAATGCACAATGTTTCAGGGAGAGTGTCCACCTTCTGGAACATATGTGTCTCTTTATTTTCCTCCTCCTCTCCCTCTTTTCTTCAAATCATTAAACAGAGACCAGTTTGTTCCATTAGCAGATTCAATTACTCGAATGAATGGCAGGATGACACTTGGTCTTGCAGCTCTGCTTCTCAACCACTGAAACTGTACAAATAAATTGAGGAAAACCTACTGTTTGTTCAAGGCAAATTAATTTCCAAACACTGCAGGAGTGGGAGATAAGGGGAATGATGGGTGCTTGGCAGGGCTCAAAGAGATTGCATTTCGTGCTTGTCGTGTTGCGTAAACATTAATTACCATCCCGGAGGCTGAGCCAGGCCTCAAGTCGGCATCAGAAACCTCTGAAGGCCTCCAGGGTTCCTATTAAAATAAAAATCCTAAAAGGGGGAAAATAGCCAGTGTATCTGGCAAAACACCAGCAGCCCGTTGGGAGGACTGAGAAACCCTGAAGGTCAGAGGCCTCTGTGTCACCTGGGAGGCTCCAGGCGTCCTCATCACCCTCATCATATTGACCCAGGGTGGGGGTATCTGGCAGGATTACAGGAAAAGCCATCCGCTGCAGCCAACGTGCTCCAACTTGTTTCAAGAGTGTTCCTCCTAAACCCACAGCCAACAGCACCAGCCCTCACGCATGCCCAGGCCCATCCATCACAGTCCTGATGGGAGGCTGGAGGCCACCAACAGCAACGGCACACAGAGGGCAGAGTCCCTGGGGGGGAACCCAGCTGGTAAGCATTTTGTTTCTCCTGAAGTCGGTCTTCAGTGTGGGGGTGGGTGGGGCAAGGAAAGGACCTCAGCAGGCAGAGGTCTGCTGTGGGGTAGGAAGGGAGCCTCCATGAGTAAGTCAGAGTCTGCTGTGTCAAGGTCACACCCAATCCTCCTGCTTGTCATTCCACAGGAAGAGACTAACCAGTATTAAGTCACTTCCTCCCAGAGGGCACAGAGACCCAGGAGAGGGCCTTGACTTCGATCTCTCGGGACAGAGGGCATGGAGACCCAGGAGAGGGCCCTGTCCTAGACCTCTGAGGACAGAGGGCACAAAGACCCAGCAGGGAGCCCTGGAGCAGCAGGGATGGAGAGCCGTGTGTACTTGTGTGGCTCGGGGAGTAGTCAGATAAGCAAAGCTGATGCTGCCATCCTTATTTTACTATCTGGTTAGTGCCCGGGCACTCCCGTCTGCACATCCCAGGACCAGCCCCAGTCAGCGTCAGCTGATCTTGTGACGGGTATGGAAAGACCTCCGGTGAGAGGTCAGGTTTGGAGGATGAACCTGCAGCCACTGAGAGCACCAGGAACACCGCTCAGGGGACACCCAGCTGGGTCTTCCAGGCAGGTCACTCCCCAGTCCCTCCATGTGTCAGTGACACAGCCAGCCTAAACACCAATGTGGGCTCCACAGCTATGGGGTGCTGCTCTGCCTAGCTGCAGGCCCCCAGCAGGCACAGGCACCAGAAGGACTGCTACCTCAGATGTGTGTCTAGGCTGCAGATGCACCCTCCTGGCCATGCCTTCCTTACTAGAGACAGCAGTGAGAGGAGCCCCGTGCTTAGGCTGGGAACTTTCCAAGAGGTAGGACTAAGGCACTGAAATGGATGATAGTGAGATGTCTGCTTAAGACAGACATCCATCCTGGCGCCTGACCATTCTCTTTCCTAGCCTCCCTCCAGCAGCTGTCAGGCTCATGGAGAGGGGTTTAGATCTGATGCCTTCCCCACTGTCCAGCTGTGCCCTCAACTTCTACATCAGGCCAGAGGGCCAGTGAGGCCCCTTGGTGTAATGTGCCCACATCACCTCATCTGCTGTTGCAATGAATGTCACACGACCCTCTGTATGGCTGTGTCTGCGATCCATAGGGCTGAGAGTATTGAATAGTGACAGAGCAGCCTGGCAAAGGACTGGCTCCACGTCACCCCTGTTTCCAAACCTGAGCCTCACCAAGCTGATTTTCTCAAGGACAAACATGAAGCCAACAACAGCAAAGACCTCTTCCCATGCTGTCTCACCCGCCTTCCTGCACTGCCAGGCCTGGCTCCCTCTCAGCTGGCTTTGAGCACCTTTGAGACAATCAATTTCTGAAGGGCCCAGAAATGCAAGGATTTCTGAACTTTGAGTGGGTCCCAGGTGCTGGGCCCTGCTGTCCTTCTGCCCCCTCTGCAGGCGGCACTATGATAGGCCAGGGGTTAAGTGGTCACTGAGGCTCACTACCTCACTACCCAATCCTGCAACCACACACACATTTTATTCCTCTAAAATAAAGCTGCCCTGCAGTCAGCAGTACCGTGCAACTACTTCTTTCCCCTCAAGAGCACCCACCCAGCAGGGTCCTGGTATTAAAAGGAAGGTACCAGTTGTTCCATGAGGAAGGAGTGAAGGTCCTCCTGCTCTGGAGGGAGGAGGGAGGTACTGCAGGCATTCAGGACAGGGGGCCACTCAAGCCCAGCGCCCTCTGTGCCCAGGACTCATCTCAGCTAAAGAGGGCCCATCCCCACAAGAAGCACAAGTTCCTTAGTTGTTTGTGTTCCACAAGTTCACACAGCAGCCACCTGGATTGTGCACAGGAGGCGGTGGCTCTGTCAGAACTTTACCAAGCCCCCTAAAAGCAATCGTGTATCCCAGGGTGGCCCCTGCACTGTTCTCAGCCACTGACCATGGGCAGTGGGCCCTACCTGGCCATGTGTGCCCTGACAGCATGCACATAAGCCTGTCTGTGCTCCTGAGGACAGATGACTCTACCCTCCCCAGCCTGTTCACACAGCCTGCTGGGCCATGGGACCTGGCTGCTGCCAACCCCTGAAATCTGCCTGGCCAGCTCATGGGAGTACCACAGAAGCTGAGATCGGACCCCTAAGAGTTGATTTTTCCTTTCATGGAGTCTTTGATTCTTAGGAAAAGAAGGAGAAGGAAAAAGAAGACTTTGGCAGTTTCACCAAATTCTGACCTTCATGGCCCCCAACTGTCTGCCCTGTATGGCTCCATGGTGCTGGGCAGCCTCACTACTCCATGTGGCCTGCAGAGCAGCTGGAGGTCACTCTGCAGCTTGGGATCAAGGCAATATGCACCACTCTCCAGCAGCTTCTTGCTTGCAAAGTGCCTCTCCACAGCACTCCTGGGCGAGCAGGAGCCTGGCGAGCCCTTCTGCACAGCGCCATCCACAAGGCCCCCACCTCTGAGCCTCTCAGCCCACCACAGATCCAGGTAGGATGCATGGGGAAATTTAAATCAGTGGTACCATCTGGATTCTAAGCTCCAAAAAACTCATTGC